AATGCCAATTCCCAGTTCCATTCCTTGTATACTTAAAGTCCACTATGCAAGGAAATCAAAGAGGGAAACAGAAGCATGGAGTGACACTTGGTATCTTTGGCCAGGTCTGAATCACTTCTGAATCCCAAAGCTGTTCTTTTGGGGGTGAAATTGGTCTCCAATAATTCTGCAGGTCAGGCTTTACATACTTTTTCCTCAGAGTGTTGTCCTGACTCTGGGAGGATCTCTGGGAGTTGTTTTGGGTCTTGTCAGGAAAAGGTAAAAAAACATTTTCAGAGTGAATCATAATGGGAATTGCACAGATAAGGGACAACTGGGATTCAGGAAAGAATGGTGAAATGGAGAGTAATGTTTCTTTTTAGCTATTTTACCCAAGTGTGAAGCATTAGATCAGTGGTTGCATTTCATTGCACTGAGCAGGGCCAGGCAAAGTGACAAATACTTCTGCCTGAGAAGTAAAAGGACCTCAGCAAGGGATGAGATGGGAATTCACTTTCAGGGACTGGGTGTGATCCCAAAGAACACAGTGCAGTGAGCAGGGACAGGCAGTGTATCACTGTCACTTTTATCCTGCAACACTTCCAGCTCAGCCAATATCCCAGTGCTTCCCAACAGTGACTGTTTGTCTTTGCTTTGTATATTCTGTGGCTCTTTCTTTAGCTGATCTGACCTGCAGTGACTGGCAGACACTTTGCTAGGCACGAAGACTTCAGGATCCTAATTTTTACTCCATTTCTTGTGTCCATGTGTGTCAGTGCTTTCCTGTGCCTTAGTTTTTCTGCCTCTGTGATGGAGCTAAGAGTTTTCTGAGAATTCAGTTTTGCCTTTTGTAAAGTCATCTGCTCTTTGGAGGTGAGGGATGATGGAATATGAAGAGCTGCCATGGCTCAGAACATCCATGCATGTAGCTAGAGGGTGATGCTGTCCCTTACATATCCTGTGGTGTTGTCTGAGAAATGAGTCAGTGAATAACCAGAATATCCTTTGACATTCCCTCACAGATCTACGAGTACAGGAAAACAAACCACGAGTTTCCAAGTCGCTTCAGTGGTCGGATCCAGTGGAATGGGAGTAAAGACATGCAGGATGTGTCCATCACTGTGCTGAACGTGACCTTGAACGATTCAGGGATCTACACCTGTAACATCACTCGGGAGTTTGAGTTTGAGATCCACAGACCTCTCTTCACAAGCTCCAGGCTGATCCACCTCACCGTGGTGGAGGAGGGTAGGAAGGACTGGCAGGAAACGTGTTGTGCTGTCACTGGCTGTGGGTGTTGTCATCCAGGGATGGAGTTTGTCATTGCACTGCAGGAAAGAGGTGACTGAGCTGCCACAGAATCGTGTCTGTCACTGCCAGCAGCAGTCACTGCACAGGGTTCAGGGGCAAAGCCTTGTTTGCAGGCACTGAGGGGGTGTGGGTGAAGGTGGGAAGGTACAATCAGCTTGGGGCACAGCTGGGCAGGCACAGGCAGAGCTTTCCAGCATCTCTCGTGGTGGCTCTGGGATGCTACAGCTCTGCCTTTCCTTGCTGCCACCCCCTCCCTCCTGGCACGACTCATTCTCCATTTTGATACCAGGCTCTTGCTTCTTCCCTCTCCCACTCTCCTTCCCTTTGTAGTGCTCCTGAGCCTTTCTGTTCCTCTTGGTTTGCTCAGTTCAGTGCTGAAATCTTAGCTTGTTAGAAACCAATGGGAATTCTGCTGTTCCCTTCAGAGAGGGACAAGTGCTTTGAGCCCTCATCTTTTCTTCCCCTCCTTCTTCCCCACAAGCATCTCTGTGTGTTCTGCTCTCTTTCAAATCCCTGCCAGCACAATACAGTCAAGTAGCACCAGTGAGTAGGATGCAGAGAGGAAACAGAGCGTGAAGATGAGCTAGGCCAAGGGGTGAGCAATCCGTGTGGCTGTGGGGGTGGCACACACAAGGCTGTGCATGTTCCATCCCACGGTGGGATCAGTGCTGGTGTACCCTGTTGGCAGCCTTGCCTCAGCCCTCTCTTTTTCACAGCATAGTGGCACCTAGATCTCTGTGGCAAGGTGGGTTAGGAAGGATGACACAAGGGTGGAAGGTCCACGGAGCTGCATGGAAATGATCAGAGATTGTTTCGTTTTTCTTAACAGCTGGAGAAGACTTCACCTCTGTCATCTCAGAAATTATGATGTATATACTGCTGGTCTTCCTCACCCTGTGGCTCCTGATAGAAATGGTCTATTGCTACAGAAAAGTCTCCAAGGCAGAGGAGGCTGCCCAGGAAAATGCGTAAGTGTGGAATCCCTGGAGATGTGAGCAGTCTAAACTTTGCTCTTTTATGTTCTAGTTGAAGTTTGCTCTGTCCCAAACCCTTGCAGTGCTTAGGAGTACCAAGACAGCAGGTAGGGAGTGTGGCCACAGTGCACAGCATTCCAGGGTGGCCCAGTCTGGACTGTGTGGAGATGCTCTAATGGTAGGTCTGGTTTCATCCTGGCCCATTCCCATCTTTCTACACATCTGGCTTGGATAAGAGTGCTCTTTATGCATGGTGGGAAAGCTGTGTGTGTAGGATTTTACAGTAGAGAAGACTCTGTGTTTGCTTCTGACTATGTCAAAGAGTTTCCCACCACATGAATCTTCTGCAAGTGATGTTTGTTACCTTAGAGGTACTTCCAGGCATTCAGTATGGGTGAAATGGCCCAAACTGGTGTTTGCACTGTAGCACTTGAGGTTATGTTTTCCTCCTTCCCTCCAAATACAGGACAGACTATCTTGCAATTCCATCAGAAAACAAGGAAAACTGTGCTGTGCCTGTGGAGGAATAGCAGAGAGGAGTCAGCAGGACGAACGGCACCAAGGTAGGCACTGGGGGAACAGTCACTGCTTGTGTCTGTCCACCTTTCAGCCTCCCTGCAGTGGGTTAGTGTGTGTGTGGGGCTGGAGAACAGGTGGATAGGAGGGAGACTCCTGGAGTTTGGCTGTGCTCCTGCTTTGGAGCCTCCCCAGTGATCTTAGAAGCAAAAAGTGGTGGATATCTTCATGTTGCTTTAAACCCCAAATCAACACACTCATTCACTTTCAGATCATGATGTGATTACACCTCCTTTGCCTGTTCTTGTTGAGTTGGGAATCATCCCTGTCCCCTGCAGATGGGGAGCTATGCCCATGAGAACTGTAGGAGCTGTGCCTCCAATGGAAATGTCTTCTAGGAAGGACTTTGTGCACGAAAGATTCAAATCTTTCCCCTTTGAAATTCTCACTCACGTTACTGTGCTCATTCTATCCCCATCCTCACCTCAGTCAGGTCCCAGAGGAATTCTCTCTGTTGCAGGGGCTCTGAAGACAGAAGGACCACGTGCTGCCAGCCAGGTTGGAGGGGAGCTCTGAGCCGTCGGGAGGAAATGTGGGGAAGTGTAAATTCTCTTCCGTTTGCCTTGGACTCTGTACAGCCTTGACTTTGGTCTGCTGACTCCGTGCCAAGCTGCCAGCCCTTTGCTAAAGGACTCTTCTGTTGAAGCATGCTGAGCAAATGGCACAGGGGTGTGGGCAGCACGGCTCCTTCCCAAGTTTCAGTTCCATCATCACCTGAACGGCTTTGTAAATGTTAAGTGTCATTTCTTAGCTGCTGTCACCACCACTTTTATTTGCTAAATATGCTAGTCCTCCATTGCAGAGGTAAAGGGTATGTATGTCATGTTACTGTGACCTGCAAAATGGGAATAAGGTCATTTCAGGTGATGTTCCAGTATATATTGCAGCCCCAATAGTTTGATTGGGGTTAAACAGGAAAGGTTTATAATTCATTAGGTGCTTGGTAAGTTGCTGTGGACTTTGGGCTCTCTGTGCACAGGCAGAGTGAGGACTGTAATGCACTAGGAATGTTGTAAATGTGTAGTAGGGAGGATGAGTCCCTGTGCCACGTTCACACTTGCTTCTGGAGGGAGTTGGGAATACAGATCCTGATGTTTTGGAGGCGGCATGATGTAAGTATAAGGATCCCCCTGTGTCCCCCTTTCATTTAGCAACTGTCAAAGCTCTCAGCTCCTTCCATTTGCCTGCACAGCAGGTTTGCTCCTCGAGTACACAGTGGTAGGAGTAACCTGCAGAGCCTCGTTCTGCAAGAGCAGGCAAGCCAGTAGGACAAGGTGTGGGATTCACCTCTTCCCGGGTAAGCCTGGAAAGAAGGCAGCATCATGCCAGGAGGCTGGAGAAATAAACAGGCTGCAAAGCCCTCCCAGGAGGAGGACAGCAGCTTAGGGAGATGGTTGTACTTTTTACAACTGTCATTTTCTCTCATGCTGTAGTGCAGCACCATCTAGAGGGATAGATGGAAAACGGCTGTTTTCTTCCTAGTTAATCCCAATTCTTTCTTGTGGTAATTACTCCCTGGTGTGAATACTCTGCGTTCATCCTAAAGGATCCCCTGCCGCCCAGGAATCACACTGGGAATTCCATCTTTACCAGCTGAACTTAGCTTTTCAAAGGGTTAAGCAGAGTAAACTTTGTTTTCTGGCCTCCAATGTGGATCAGTTGAGCTCAGCAGCTGAGACTGGAAGGGGAAAAAGGCAGGAGGATTGCCCAGGGTGGAATTGTACCTTAAGTGGGGAAGGTTTGGTTTTGTCCTATGGCAGGTGTAGTTACATCCCTGCTGCAATGGAGCCTGTACTGCTTGTAAGAGTTGATATGTTTTGCTACACTGATGCTTCTCAGTAGTTACAAAGTGCTCGTGACTCCAGGCATGCTTCCCACCTATGGAATTCCCTCTGCTTTGTTCTGCTGCTTCTTATGTGTTTGCTAAAATCACAGCAGTGACTCCATTTGTAAGTCAGGCCCAGGCCAGATTTCTACTGGCTCCTGTTTCAAACCCTTTTTTTAGAGTGGGTGTCAACTTTAGTAAACTACTACAGTGCAGTCTTCATAGTAGGACTGCTCCCAAATCCAGAGCCAAGTCTGGCAACTGGAGCATATTTTCCAGCTGAAACACAGTTGTAGTCTGGGCAGCAGTTCCCTAAAACCTAATAGCCAAAAGGGGAAAAAAGCAGCTCCTCTTTGAATTCAGCTGGATCTCATCCTTTTCCCTATGCCAATTTGTCTGGCACAGTCCTAACTCTAAACCCACAGGAACAGAGGAGGGAGTAGATTGGAACTCCAGTTTCCATCTCCCCATGGCACTGAGCCCGTGGTGGGTTTTAGGTAAGGTCAGGACACTTCTCTCACCCAGCTCTGCTCCTCAGGCCCATGGACAACCCTCTGGTGTCACACTGTTAAATCAAAAAAGGAGTAAACCAAGAACTTCTTGAGAGCTACCTCAGGTGGTAAAGAAGGGCCATCCCCTAATCCTGCACCTCCCCCTATCCTACAGCATCTTTTAAGATGCTTTTTTTTGGACATATTTTGCCAGTTCCTGCAGGCAGATGTGACTATTGCCATAACGGTGAAAATCATGTGTAAAATTTGCTCAAGAATCTCATAGGAAAAAGTACAACAATTGGGGAATTTTCAAGGGTGGTGGAAGAGATGGTCCTGGTTGGTCTCTGCACAGACTCTCTCTGTATTGGGAACTGACAGAAGAGGCTCTAGAACAGACAAGGTAATAAAGAGAACAAAGACTCACCAGTCTGGTTGTTTGATAGCTTTTTTTTAATTGATACTGTACTTCCATGGTACTACTACTTTACACGGAGTTTGGCTGCAGAGCCTTTACAGTTCCTAGGTTCTAGCAGGTAAGTTTCAGTATCTGTTTTCCACTGGGTTTTTTTCTTTTTTTGCGCACAGCGCAAAGTTTCTGACAGTTAGACAACTCCTAAAACAAACCCACAGCTCTTCCCCCAGCCCACCCCAGAGTTCACCTCAGGGCTCCAGGCCAACAGCCCCAGCTTCCCAGGCTCTGGGGGTGAATTCCAGGAGGGAAGGATGATTTTTAGCCCCCACTCCCAGGCCTTGATGCCGAGGTGACCCTCGTTAACTCGCCGTTCCACACAGCAATTAGGGGTTGCAGGATCCAGAGTGGGGAGAAGATGCTCCAGGATTTTATTAGCAGCTTTATCCAGCCCCTGGAGCACATGATGAGGAGATGAACTACATCCCAGAGGTGCCACAGCCACGTGAGGCCACTCCTGGGTGGTTGTAATGCTGCGATGGTTCTGCTGCTTCTCCTTCCCTCCGAGTGCATCGGGCCCAGAGCCAGGTCAGTGCTTCCATCCCTGCTCTGTGCTAGCACACGGGAGGTGGGTTGGTTTGTGGGGATGGGAATGATGTGTGTGGCACAGGCTCCACCTCTTTGCTGGATAAAGCTGCTGTTCTGTAACAGCAGCTCTCCCAAAAAAAAAATAATCCTAATTCCGCTGGGGCACGTTGGGCTGAAACAGCTCTGACCACATGGCCCTAGAACCTGAGCTGCACATTGGTTTTATTCCCTAACTACTCTCAGAGTTTGGGATGGGGAAGGTGGCCTTGAACGTTAGCAATGGAATTGGCCTAAATGAGTGAGGTAACAGAAACGGCCAGAGGAGGTATCTCCCTGAGCCATGTGCAAATATAATTCCTTCAGCAGAAGGAAATCCTTTTCCCTACTGAAAAATAAAATAAAATAAAACACATTCACTTAAAAGAGCATACAGACTGCAGGAGGGAAAGGCAAGCAGGGACAGCACCAGGTCAGTCCATCTATGACACAGGGAATGATTGTCCAGCAGCAGAGGTGGGAGGGGAGAGGGAAAAGCCATAGCAAGCACTGCAGAACGTGGGAGGGAGAGGAGGGCATGGCACACCAGGGATCCATGCGAAGAGCTAAGCCCATGCTGTCTGCCCAGATCAGGAATGGCCTCAACCAGCAGTCAACCAAGACACGAGGAGATTATTTGGCCAGTGTGCACATCTAGAAAAAGAAGGGTATTATGGCACAGAGAGACTCGTGCTGTACAGACTGCAGAGCACAGAGTGTGTCCTGTGGGGAATGGCCAGGGAGTCAGCACAGACACTTGGTGTTCTGTGAGCCACTTACCTATGGGCTTTGGTTTGAGTGTCTCTGTTTTGAGCTCTGGTTTAAGCAAGGCCCTGCCAAATGTTTTAACTAGTGCTGAGACTGAAAAGACTAAGCCAGAGTGCACATGGCTGTGCTGTGGAACGTGTCGGTGGCAGCAAACCTGGCAGAGATCCCACTGGGAGATCTCTCTGGAGTGAGCAGGTAGTGCAGAAAGTCTGTCAAGAGCTGTGGGATGGCAGCAGCTGCCTGGACAAACAGGGCAGAATTGCCTCCCCTGAGCCAGGCACTGTTGCTATAAACAGTGACTTGAAAACTCATTTTTCTTCATATTGTGGAACCTGAAAGTTCCACCTCTAAATTAAGAAGTAGTTAATTTCTATCCTCATTGGGAAAAGCAGACCCTGACTGACAGAGAACTCCTGGTTACAACAGCTAGTGCAGCACAAGACTCTAGAGCAAATCCAGAAGATCTTGTTTCAAGTATCCAGACCAAAAAGTGTCTCCAGCCACGATTTGGGAAAGAAATTTCTACCTTCTTTCTTACAAAGGTAAGAAAAAGCTTACATAGAAGCTACAGGGACAGTGCTGAGGAGTCAAGTAGGCTGAAAAGTCTGTCCTGGTCTACACCCAGAGGAGCTGCTGAAATTAGCAGGGTCTGCCTGATAAGAACAGAGATTAGCATTCCAGGATCAGCATTCCAGGCTTTCCAAGAGGGGATATTCCAATGCAGACATTATTGGTTCAGAGGCAGTTTAGTGCCTCTTTCAATTCAGGGGCACATCTCTGAGGTTTCCCTTTACTAGCTCTGAGTGGCTCAGGTGTCACAGCACTCTGAGCTGGGTGTCAGTGCAGACTCTGTGTCAGCACCAGGACAGGTAAGTTAGGGGAGATCAAAATCATTTGACTTTTTCCTCTTTTTCCAAAAGAGAGCCACAAAGGATTTGTGCAGAAGTTAATATCAGTTAATACCAGTGTTCTGACTGAAGTGTGCCTGGGATTATGGGTTAATTGCTGAGCACCCAAAAAAGGAAGATTACCCAGTTAAGCCATAGCTAACTCCCATCCTTACCATTGCAGGTATTTTTTCTCTCTTTTAAAGTGGAACGTGCAGACCCAGCACTGCCCCTGTCTTGGGCATCTTCCCACCTGGAATAACCTCTCTTTACACCCAAATGCTGCACTAGATACATTTGGCATCTACTTTAGGGATGCCTGATTGCATAGCAGCTATCCAGGGGCTCAGATCCACCTTGAGCTCATCCCAGTTGCCATAACCCAAGCACCTCTTTTAAGGTAAAGCATTACAAGGTGTGTGTTTCTCAGATTGTATTAAGCTAGGATCAGTGTGTCCTTCTCCCCTATAAACAGGTCAGATGCACAAACTGGCAGATTGGAGCCTTCTGCTCCCCCTTCTCCCTCCTCCCAATAGGTAGCATCTCACTTGGCAGGGATGAGGCTGCTAGCTCTTGGCATTAGTTTGCATGCTTGGCTGGAGAATTGCTTGTTGTTAAAATCCCTTTTCAGTCATTGTTCAGCTCTGCAAATCAAAGCCCAGCTGTGCTCACCTGGCAGATGTGCAGGGTGGAAGGGTCAGAGAGAGGACTCAGGGATTTCTGGCTCAGGTAAGCAGGTAGAGGAGCAAAGCCCTGACAGTGGAAGCCAAACTGTGACTTGGCTGGGACTGCTGAGGCAAGTACCACCCCCT